TTTTTTTTTTTTTTGAGACGGAGTATGGCTCTGTGGCCCAGGCTGGAGTGCAGTGGCCGGACCTCAGCTCACTGCAAGCTCCGCCTCCCGGGTTTACGCCATTCTCCTGCCTCAGCCTCCCGAGTAGCTGGGACAACAAGCGCCGGCCACCTCGCCCGGCTAGTTTTTTTGTATTTTTTAGTAGAGACGGGGTTTCACCGTATTAGCCAGGATAGTCTCGATCTCCTGACCTCGTGATCCGCCCGTCTCGGCCTCCCAAAGTGCTGGGATTACAGGCTTGAGCCACCGTGCCCGGCCGGTCGGAGAGCTTTAAATGGGCTCCAGTGAACTAACTTCGTGGGATGTAGACCCAGTGTTGCCAAATCCTAGGGTGTTTCAGAAGTTGGAAACCTAATTTTTGGGTGAAATTTTCCAGTTTTCAAGTTTGAGACTAGTGAGCCATGCTTGAATTTTCTTTCAAAACATTCTGTCTGCCAACAAACATTATGGACCAAATATCTGTCAACTGAGTTATACTCATAGATTGAGGCTTAACCTCTGACATGTAAAAAAACTCATTGTTCAGTAGAATTAGCATTTATTGTAGGTCTACCATATTCCCATATCTGTAGTCTCAAAAATCTGGAAAACTCAGAACAAATTTTTTTTTTTCCATAAATTTAGTATTCATGCCTTACCTGAACTACTACAGGGTATTTTTTTAAAATATAACTTTAAATTATTCTACCTAGAATGAATAATTATTCCTTTCTCTAGAAATGGTAAAGTGTTCAATTATGAAGTACAGCCTGATCCACACTGTGCTGAGATTTTGTTTTGTATTGTTTCTGTTTTTGAGACCGAGTCTTGCTCTGTCGCCCAGGCTGGAGTGCAGTGGCACAATCTCGGCTCACTGCAAGCTCCACCTCTTGGGTTCACACCATTCTCTCACCTCAGCCTCCCAAGTAGCTGGGACTACAGGCGCCCGCCACCACACCTGGCTAATTTTGTTTTTGTATTTTTAGTAGGGATGGGGTTTCACCGTGTTTGTTAGCCAGGATGGTCTCAATCTGACTTCGTGATCCGCCCGCCTCAGCCTCCCAAAGTGCTGGAATTACAGGTGTGAGCCACCACGGCCAGCCCTGCACTGGGATTTTAATGAAATATGCCATATATATATGCCATATCACCTTTTTAAAATAAAAGTTGAATGTCAAAGCACATCTGGTGTTGGAGTTTGAAGAATTTGTGGACTTGTGTCATTGTTAAGTGATCCGTGCTGCTTTGTGCTTTCAGCACTCCGCAGATATATGCCACTTGGTCCAGGCAATGGATACAAATGGGTAAAGATGTCTGTGGTACGATGTTTTGCATATTATGGGTCATGAAAATAACTGGGTGCAGTGACTATGTTTTTTTTTTTTTTTTTTTTAGACGGAGTCTTGCTCTGTCGCCCACGCTGCAGTGCAGCAGTGGCGCGACCTCGGGTCACTGCAAGCTCTGCCTCCCGGGTTCACGCCATTCTCCTGCCTCAGCCTCCCAGGTAGCTGGGACTACAGGCGCCAGTCACCACGCCCGGCTAATTTTTTGTATTTTTAGTAGAGACGGGGTTTCACTGCGTTAGCCAGGATGGTCTCGATCTCCTGACCTGGTGATCCGCCTACCTCGGCCTCCCAAAGTGCTGGGATTACAGGCTTGAGCCACCGCGCCTGGCCAAGTTGAAATATTTCTGTTGTAGAGATAGCGGCCAGGTGCGGTGGCTCACACCTGTAATCCTAGCACTTTGAGTGGCCGACGAGGGTGGCTTACTTGAGGTCAAGAGTTTGAGAACAACCTGGGCAACAAGTGAGATCCTGTCCCTACAAAAAGTGAAAAAGATTAGCTGGATGTGGTGGCACATGCTTGTAGTCCCAGTTACTTGAGAGACTGAGGTTGGAGGATTGCTTAAGCCCAGGAGATTACAGCTGCAGTGAGCCAAGATTGTGCTGCTGTAGTACTCCAGCCTGGCAGCAGAGCAAGACCTTGTCTCCAAAAAAAAAAAGAACAGTTTTGGAGGCTGGTTTACGTGAACTCAGATTCTAGAGATGATAACCAGAAATCCCAGAAGCATTGTTCCATTGGTTCTTTAGACACCTTCATTCTGTCAACAACTGTAGGTGCTTTTACACCTACTGTTAAAGCACCTACTGTACACTAAGCGACACAGCAGTGAGCAAGACAGAAGTTCCCACTGCAGCCATAGACTTTCCTCACCAAATCTCCTAAACATGTTTTTACTGACTATGTTAGGTGCTAACAGTGGTGGCCAAGCTGTTCTGTAGGTTCTGAAGCACAGGGGAGATGTGGGGCTGGGGTAGCTTCAGTAAATACAGTTGTTGTTGTCCCCTGCAGGGAGACTCACATTGGGACTTGTCTTCCTCCTCCTGGACATTTTGGGGGCTCGGCAGCATGGACAGCGAGTCAGCCACGGGCGGAAGGGAGACTTTCTCACAGCTCCCTTGTGCTTCCCACAGCCCTGCCAGCCGGGAACACGGAGGGGAAGGAGGAGGAGCTTAAAAGAGGCTATTGAAGCCCAGTTGGCCATGACTGAGGTGAGTTGAATGTCACTCTGTTTTAATTGGTCACCCCCAAAGGCAGGAAAGTTGGCTTTCCTTTGTGGCCGAGGCGAGTTGAAGGCCGCTCTGTGTTAATCAGTCACCCCCAAAGGCAGGAAAGTTGGCCTGCCTTTGTTTTGGCCTCGCTGTCCCATGGTGGCTCCCAGGCGATCTTTTTTTTTTTTTTTTTTTTTTTTTTTTGAGATGGAGTCTCACTGTGTCTCCCAGGCTGGAGTGCAGTGGTGTGATCTCGGCTCACTGCAAGCTCCGCCTCCCGGGTTCACGCCATTCTCCCGCCTCAGCCTCCCGAGTAGTTGGGACTACAGGCGCCCGCCACCTCGCCCGGCTAGTTTTTTGTATTTTTAGTAGAGACGGGGTTTCACCATGTTAGCCAGGATAGTCTCGATCTCCTGACCTCATGATCCACCCGCCTCGGCCTCCCAAAGTGCTGGGATTACAGGCTTGAGCCACCGCGCCCGGCCCCAGGCGATCTTTTTTAAAGGAAAGCTCACATGCTGTTCTTTTCTGCTTGTACTCTTCTGGGAACCCCTATTGCTTATAGGATAAATTCCAGGTTTTTCAGCCTTCCTGTGTGTTCTAGGTTCTACCCACCTTTGCACCATCTTCTCCCATTTCTCTAGATGACCAGTACTCCCTTTGGCCTAGTAGTAAAACTTGATTCTGTACTTTCCAGCAGCTTCCCTGCCTTTGCTCAGGTTGCGTCCTCTGCTGGAATCCCCTGCCCCTTTTCCATCTGGTAATGTCTCCACAGCCTTTAAGACCCGGCTCAGTTCCCCAACCCTTCCCTAGGCACTCAGCACTTTCCCACTCTGACCTTCCATAGCGCCCCCTGCTGCCTCCACTGTAGCACAGATCCACCTAGATATGGATGTTCCTGCCTATACCTGTCATCCCGACCAGACTAGATGCTCCTTGGGGACACGAACTGATGGGGATTCATCTCTGGGTCCCCAGGGCCCAGCACAGGCCAGGCACACAGGAAGCCTCATGAGGTATTAGGTGAATGTATGAATGAATCAATGAATGATGCATGAAACCATCTATCTGGTAAATATCTGTTCATCCTTAGTGATCCAACTTTAATGACCTCCCCTCCAGGAAGCTTTCCCTGACCTCAAGGCAATGGCCTCCCTCCTTTTTCTGGCCCACACAACCCTCGATACCTCCCTGTGCCACAGTCCTACCTCCCTCATGTCTCTTCATCAGACCATGAGCTCCATGAGGCCAGGAACCAGGTCTGACACACATCCGTGTCCCTAGTGCCCACAGTGTGGTCTGGCACACAGGGTAAATGGTTGCCACATATGTGCTCTGACCTTGTCACTTTCCTGTGGCTCCCCAGTGCCTCAGGCATCAAGTCCGCCCCTGTCTTCCCACCTCCTCCATCACTGAGACCAGGGGCCCTTGTCCAGCACAGTCTGGGAGTGTGAGGAAAGGAAGCCCCTCAAAGGTCCTCTGTGATCTGGCTCCTGCTGAAAAAACTGCTCGACTGGTACTCTTGACAGGATATAGACAGCAACAGTTTCTATTATAAGTGTCAGAAATCGACTTACGCAGTCAGGAGACTACTAATTATATAACCAAAAGTCCAGAGGTAGGGCTGTCATCATCTGCATGTGTGATTGGGACTCAGTTTATTGTCCCCACCTTGAACCTCGCTTAGTATGGGTTCCATCGTTGATGAGCTCCTTCCCTTGTCCCAAAACAGCTATCAGGACCACGTGCTGCTTTGCCTCCTTCGACAAGTATTTACTCTGTGCCTGCCATGTGTGGGCTTTGTTATAAGTCTGGACTAGGGAAACAGTTTAGGTGGTTGCTGTCCTCATGAAGCTCGCGTTGTTGCGAGTGACAGTGTATAAGCTTGCTAGGGCTGCTGTCACAAAGTACCACACACTGGGTGGCTGAAAACAACAGAAATGGATGGTCTCGCAGTCCTGGAGGCCAGAAGTCTGAGATCAGGGTGTTGGCAGGGCTGGATCCTTCTGAGGCTGCAAGCCAGGCCTCTCCCCTATCTTTTGGCAGTTTGCTGACCAGCTTCAGTGTTGCTTGGCCTAGAGAGGCATCACCCCAATCTCTGCCTTCACCTTCCCAGGATGTTCTCCTCGTATCTTCACATTGTTTTCCCTCAGCCTGTGTTTGTCTTTTTGTCCCCATTTCTCCTGTTTATAACAACTTCAGTCATGTTGGATTAGGACCCACCCTGGTGACCTCATCTCAGCTTGATCACCTCTGTAAAGACCCCATTTCCAAATAAGGGCAAATTCTGAGGTACTGGGGATTAGAACTTCATTGTATCTTTTTGGAGGGTTACAGTTCAACCCATACCACACAGTAAAATGCATGAAGTAAATCACAGAATGCAGGCAGTATTAACGATTATGGAAGAAAGGGATAGGGAGACCTGGGGTGGATTTGCTGTTTTATATAGAGGGGTCAGAGAAGGCCTCATGGAGAAGAGGCATTTAAGCAGAGAACTGAGGGACACAATCTTGACTGTAAGATGGGAGCTGGCAGGTGTGTTCGGGGAGCAGCAAGGAAGCAGGTGGGGCTGGAGCAGAGTGGATGTGCAGGAAAGGGGGAGAAGGTAAGCCCTGAGGGATAGCTGGGGCCTGATCTTTAGGGCCCTGGAGATCATTGTATGGCCTTTGTCTTTAAATGCGACGAATTCGGAGGCCATTGGAGTGTTTGGAGCAGAGGATGGACGGGATCTGTTGTAAGTAGAAACAGGATCCCCGTGGCTCGTCTACCCAATTCCTGCTTAGCATCACATTGGGACGACTGTTTCAGGATCTTGCTGCTGCTGTAACAAATCACACAAACCTGGGGGCTTAAAAACAACACAAATTTATTATTTCACAGCCTCTAGAACTATAGGAAATAAATTTCCTTTCTTTATAGATGACCCAGTTACAGCAACAGAAGATGGACTAATACACTGTGTGACTTGGAGAAAGTGACTATTTGGGCCTTGATTTTGTTTTCTATAAATTGGGGATAATCCTGCCTCAGAAAGGAGTCAGGCAGTTTAGTGACTCACTGCACCTAAAGCATTGAACCATTGCCGGCATGCAGAACGCTCTTGGCCAAAGAAGGGCTTTTGCAGTCAGATGCCTGGAGGGTTGGGCTGGGCAGTGTGAGCCAGAGTGGAATTGCCCCCTTGTGGAGCTCTTGCTTTGTGCTAAGTACTGTGCAATCACCTCCCAGCAGTATTTCAGTTGCTTCCTGTAGCAGCCCTGATGAGATGGGACTCATTGGTCCCATTTCACTAGGGGAGCAGGAATTGGGGCCACAAGAGACATGCAGCTTACTCGCCAGTAGTCACTCATAAGTGAAGGCAGTAGGGCCAAACCTCAAAGCCAAACAACTAAAGAGAGGTGGTTTTCATTCTTCCTTAAAATGTGCTGTGTGTGCACGTGCGCATATGTGCCTGTGCCCACGTTGATGGAGATTTGGAAGAGAGACAGCAGTCATGGTTTCACCTAGAGATGGGGTGTGTGGGGGCAGGCTTTCACGTTTTATCGTCGGTACTTCTCAAGTATTTGAATTTTTATCCTAAACACCCATTAACTGGCTAGGTACAGTGGCTCATGCCTGTAATCCCAACACTTGAGGAGGCAGGGGCAGGAGGATCGCTTGAGGCCAAGAGTTCTAGACCAGCCTGGGCAACATGGCAAGACTCCTACTCTACCAAACAAACAAGCAAACAAACAAAAAATTAGCTGGGTCTGGTGGCACATGCCTATAGTTCTGGCTACTTGGAGGCTGAGGCAGGAGGATTGCTTGAGCCCAGGAGGTCGAGGCTATAATCGTGGCACTGCACTCCAGACTGGGCAACACTGTGAGACACTCTCTCTGTTTCTCTCTCTCTCTACATATACATAATATATATAATAAGTTATATATAAAATTTACAAATTACCAGATTTATAAATTACCATAATTTATAAATGATAGAAAGAAACCGATTCCTTATAGTGAAAACTAGCAAATAAAAGGAGAGTCAAGCATTTACCCTACCTGTCCTATATGAACTCTTCCACTGACTAGCCAAATAATAGAAAAATTTTTCTTTTTTTTAGGCAGGGTCTCACTGTCACCCAGGCTGGAGTGCAGTGATGCGATCACAGCTCACTGTAGCCTTGACTTCCTTGGGCTCCTGTGATACTCTCACCTCAGCCTCCTGAGTAGCTGGGACTACAGGTGCATATGTAAATTATAATATATAAATATATATAATTATATATGAAGTAAAATTATATAGAATACATATCTATATTATATATACATCATATGATGTATAAATATACACTATATACACGCACACATACACATAAATAATAATAAACACCTATTAACTAGGAAAGTTTTAAAATGAAAGATGGCATCACTAAAAGTTGGACAACCAGATAAGAGCCTTAGGTAGTCATGGGGCCTAAAGTGGACCTGGTACCACCTGTGAGTGGGTCTTTCCCCCAGAGGCTGTACTGACTCAGTCAGGCCTCTGCTTCCCTGACCAGCTCACAGGAAATGCGCAGCCAGAGGAGCAGCCAGGTGATACTGCATAGAAGCAGCTCGCCACATTCAGAACGTGGGATCTCAAATCAGGAGCATGGAGGATGAAGAAGGCACAGGGGTACAGCTGTAGATTTTACAACCTCAGAGCCACATCAGTTACATGCAGGGTATGGGCTCCCCTGGATTCTGATTGAGACAAGCTAGCTATAAAGACACACCACTAGGCTGGGCACGGTGTCTTATGCCTGTAATCCCAGCACTTTGGGCGGCTGAGACAGGCAGATCACGAGGTCAGGAGTTCGAGACTAGCCTTGCTCACATGGTGAAATCCTGTCTCTACTTAAAAATGCAAAATTAAAATTAGCTGGGCGTGGTGGTGTGCACCTGTAATCCCAGCTACTCAGGAGGCTGAGGCAGGAGAATCGCTTGAACCCGAGAGGCAGAGGTTGCTGTGAGCCGAGATCATGGCATTGCACTCCAGCCTGGGCAATGGAGTGAGACTTTGTCTCAAAAAAAAAAGAAGGGACACCACTGAGACGTCAGCCTAATCTGTATACGGATTTCGAATGTGGTCTAGGTGTTCTAACTAAGTAAGGAGTTACTGCTCATACTGAAGTATTCACAGGTGAAATCAGATGACCCCTGGTGATGGGTTCATGGTTAATTATATACATCTCTCTACTTGTATGTATGTTTGAAAATTTACAAAATAAAATCTTGAATGAACACTAAAAAAAAAGCAAAAGTGTGAAATAAATAAGATTTTTAGGACCAGACAGACCTGGGTTCCGTCTCACCTGTGTTAACCTTGGTTGACATTCTGTCCTCTGGTCAAGACTCCTTTTCTTTGCCTACAAAATACAGGGGTTTCCAGTCTCTTACGTCTCAAGATTCTTGTGAGGCTGAGGATGGGATGGTTTTTGCCAAAGGCCTGGCAGATTGAGGGCTGGGGGTGCCCTGAGTGAGCTGTTGGGCTCCTCCCTGACCCCAGCCTCTGAGTGACCAATAGTGTATTTTGTTTCAGGAATTTGTGACCCTCAAGGACGTCGGCATGGACTTCACCTTGGAAGATTGGGAGCAGCTCGGGCTGGAGCAGGGGGACGTGTTCTGGGACACAGCGTTGGACAACTGCCAGGACCTCCTTCTGCTGGGTGAGTGTTCCCTGTCCCCAGGGGCCTACTCACTGTCCTGCTTGGTGATCACCTGTGCTCTCCCCCAGCCACAGGATGAAATCCTGGGCTCCTCTGAATCCGCATGACCTAGCCCAGCAGTTCTCAGCTGGCCAAGGAGACATTGGCAATGTGTGGAGACATTTTTGATTGTTACTTCTTGGGCCAGCAGCGTGCTGCTAACATCTAGCCGGTGGAACCCGGGGAGGCTGCCACACATCCTGCTGTGCATAGGAGAGCCCCACAACCAAGGACTGGCCTATGCCAGTGTCAGTAGTGCTAAGCCTGGGAAACCCTGCTCTGGCCCCATCTGCCTCCCCAGCCTCGTCTTCACCACTTTCCTGCTTGTAGTCAGTCATTCTTCAAGCTGAGACTTCAGGGTCTTCCTGTTGCCCTCCCCTCTGCCTAAGTGGCTCTCAGGGCTTACCTTCTTCAATCTGACCTGGGACCCTGTGAGAACTCCGTATCTCCTCTCCTGCTCATCTTGGCCATCGCTCCATCACGTTCTAACTACCATTTTATCATCAGAGCGGGAGCCGTGTGAGGACAGGGGCGTGTCCCCAGTGTTTGGAACAAACAGTTCCTGCTCCAGGGCCCAGCGGACAGCTCTAAATTAATGGAACGATTGAGTAGCAGCTCTTCGGACTTGCTCGTTCAATCCTCCAGTCACCCCACGAGGAAGCTGGGTTGTCCCTCTTGTGCTGAATGGTCTGAAACTGAGGTTGAAAGAGAGGCAGTCACCTTCCCAGCTGTGCCAGTGTCCCCAGGACACCCACAGCTCCAGTGATTGACTAGGATTCCCAGGACTCAGCCTGTGGTCAGACTCATGGCTAAGACTGACTACAGTGAAAAGAGTCAGAGCAGTCAGCAAAGGGAGGAGGTACATGGGGCAAAGTCCAAGGGAGCCAGGCACAAACTTCCAGAATTCTCTCTCAGGGGAGTCACATGGGACATGCTTAATTCCCCCAGCAATATTGTAGAATGTGATATCTTGTGTGAATGCTGTCCACCAGGGAAGCTCATCAGAGACTCAGGGCCAGGGTTTTTACTGGGGTCTGGTCACGTGGTCCCCTTTGCCTGGCACATACCAAAACTGCAGACTCCCAGGAGGAAAGCAGGTGTAAGCCACAGTGTTTGCAGAGTTTAGGTCCAGGGAGCGTGTCTCTCCCGTTCTGGAGACATGGGGTACCTGCCTGAAATCCAGCCTTGCCAGCAGACCTTTCCCAGGAGAGCAGCCAGCCTGCTGTGTCGCCCTCTTCTGCACACCAGTGTCACACAGTGAGAGAGCAGCAGGGCCCAGACTCCAGCTAAGGTCTGTGCAGCCCCAAGGCCACATCACCCCAGCTCCCCATCAGTGTCACCTCATTAGCTCATTTTGCCTCTCTGTTGCCTCAGTTCTTTCTTTTTGAAGAACCAGGAAAATAATTTACTTCAAAAGATGAAAGCAGTAAAAGATAACACACTGTGGAAACTGTCATTTGATAGAATCTCATCACATTGGGGCAGACTTTCTCCAGACTGACCAGTGTGTGCTAAGAAGCATGTAATGAGAGGTCCTACCTCAGTGTCGTTTGGAATTTTTAAACTACAGCCCACAGTAAGAAGTGTGTTTACCTCGACTGCCCCTTCGCCCATTTGCGTGTATGTATGAGTAGTGTATCCGTGTCCTATTGCTGCTGTTACACATAGCACAAACGCAGTGGCTTCCACCAGCACGCTTGTATTATGTTACAGTCCTGGAGGCCAGGAGTTCCAAATGCATGTGGCTGGGCTGGAGGCGAGGTGTTGGCAGGGCCATGTTCCTTCTGGAGGCTCCAGCACATGCAGTCCTCTCCTGGCCCGTTGCCAGCTTCTGGAGGTCACCTGTATTGCTTGACTCATGGCCTCTCAGTCTTCAAAGCCAGCAGTGGCGTTTTCTCCGCTGTAGCCTGTATCCCTCCTGGATGGTGACTCTGGTCCCTTACTTGGGGAAGCTTGTGGAGGGTAGGGCTCAGGACTGCTTGGACCCTGGGACCCTGACATCTTCTGTCCTTGGCCCATGGAGGCCTCAGGCGTTGTGTGGCCCATGGCTCAGTGAGTGAATCATGAATGGCTAAGGAAGTGCGTGCCTCTCCACCTGGCAGATTCTGCCCATTAAAGAGCTGTCACAAGTCCTTTGTGTCCCCAGCCCCAGCTGTCACAGCTTTGATCACCCTGGATTGTGATTGTTTGGCTCCCTCTCTATCACTGGACTGGGAACCCTACAGGACAGGCATCCCCAGAGGCGCCCAGGCAGCACCTGGCCCACAGGAACCATGTGCAGGATAAAGCATAGAAAAGTCAGGAGAGCCAGGAGTTTCTCACTGAGTGTCTGGATGACCCTCCATGTCCTGGTTAGATGACAATGCTGTTCTCTCCCTGCAGACCCCCCAAGACCCAACCTGACCTCCCACCCAGATGGCGGTGAAGATCTGGAGCCTCTGCCAGGAGGAAGCCCAGAAGCAACGGGCCCTGGTGAGTGGATGGAGAGGGGCCCCCTGTGTACCTTCTGTCCTCCAGACCTCCATCCTGGGGCTGCCGCCAGCTCTCCCACAGGTCTACCCAGACATTACAACGCTCAGCTTCAGGACTTCACTCGCCACTCGCTGGCTTCCACCCCCTCATCCTGGGAGCTGGGGGCGATCCGGACATTTTTATAGTCCCTCACTCTGGTGTCTCTCCACCTTGCCCTTCAGCACAGGGCTATCCTGGTGCCTCTCCGCAGCTCCTCTTCCTTCCAGACTCAACAAGGAGACGCCCTCCACTCTCTGAGTTGGTCTCTACTTTCCTGCCTTGTGCTCCCTGGGTGTGTTGACCCTCATTCTACTTCTTTTACCTCCTTTCCTTCAGGTCAATTTTTCCTTCCTATCCCTGGGGCACAGCAAATGGCCACATTAGGGAGTAACTTAAGCCTAGGCCTGAATGCTGCCGAGAGCATCTGCCCTGCCATCTCCCAAGCCAGGGTTCCTCCAGGTGGATCAGGTTAGGTGGTGAGGATTCCTGGGGTGTTACCCATGGTAGAGACATCCCCAGTAGGAGAAAGCAGAGGCAGCTGCCTCGCCTGGCATGGGAGGCTTCTCTCCTTGTTTATTTATCTGCATGAGAAGCAGGGCCCCGAGCCAGAGACCACAGGAGTCTCAGGCTGTACCCAACCCAGTCAGTCTGTAGCTCCCTTCTTGGCTCACCACACTCAAGCTCGTGTACATGAGGCCTCTGCAGCCTCCTGTTCAGCACATCAGTGTCCCTCGTAGGTGACTAACCCATGCACAGGCTCTCACAACCTCTGCTTTCTGTTTCTGTCACCTCAGCATAGTGGCTGTTTCCAAGCATGGGTAGCCGTGCCTTTACTAACAAATGTACCTCCATATCCTCTAGTAGTGACACTCGAGTTGCAGTTACCACGTAAGCGTCTTTCCCCTTTAACGGTGTGCCTCTCTTGGAAGCAGGGCTTAGCTGATTCACCCTGTATTCCCAGCTCCTGACATCATGCTTGGCACATAAGGGGTGCCTATTACATGTCTGTCGGTGCATTTGAGGCAGGGGGAACAACATGAGCACCGGTGTGGTGAGGAGAGTGAGCTGGATATCTGGGAGAGATGAGCAGAGGCAGAGGTGACAATTCAGAACAAGGTGTGATTTCAGAAGGCTTTCATTTGCAAGTTTTAATTCCAGGTGGAGAGACTTAAGCAGTCTCATAGATACTCAGATGGTGAGCCAAGAACTGCAGAAGGGACAGGCTGGAAAAGGTATGATGATGGAGGAGAGGAGAGATGGGGAGACTGGAGAGCATACAGCAGAGCAGTGACATTCATGTTTTGTGAAGGATCCCAGAGAGCATACAGCTTGGTAGTTAAGAATATGGGGGCCAGGCATGGTGGCTCATACCTGTAATCCCAGCACTTTGGGAGGGCAAGGCAGGCAGATCACTTGAGGTCAGGAGTTCGAGACCAGACTGACCAACATGCTGAAACTCCGTCTCTACTAAAAATACAAAAATTAGCTGGGCGTGGTAGTAGGCACCTGCAGTCCCAGCTACTCAGGAGGCTGAGGCAGGAGAATCACTTGAACCCGGGAGGCAGAGGTTGCATTGAGCTGAGATCGTGCAGCACTTTAGCCTGGGCAACAGAGCAAGACTCAATCTCCAAAAAAAAAAAAAAAAAGATATATATATGGGGTCAGAGGGGTTCAAATCCTCATTCTGCTGCTCACTTAGCTTTAAGAAGCAGAAACGTGCCTACCTTATGGGAGGTTGTCGAGTGTAAGAGAGTGCCTGAGGCACTCCTGCCTGTGAGTAAGCATGCCATGAATGGGATTTACTGTCTGTGAATCTGTCCCGTGGCTGCCGCTGTGGCAGTGGATGGATGAGCAGTGGAAGGTCCCCGTTAAAGAGCTTACCTTCTGGTAAGGGTCAGGGGTCAGACCCTTTCATAACTTGTCAAGGTGGAGGATGGTAAGTGCTCAGCTGTTTTTCAGAGAATATAGGGCAGGGGACTTAAAGCAGAATGGGGATGGGGTTGTCAGGGAAGCCTTTCAGAGGAGGGTGATACTCAAGCTGGGTATTAAAAGACTTAGAGGAGTTAGCCCAGGAAGTGCCATCCAGCATGAGGGACCATTAAAAGCACAGAGGAGAAAGTCTGGTAGATTTAGGGAACCGCAAGAGTTCTATGAGGTCAGCACAAAGAGCGCTGGGCTGATACACTCATTTCTCTTCTCTAGGCAAGAAGCCCTGGAAGGGTTTAATCAGAGGAGTGATATAGTCAGATCCATTTTTTTTTTTTTTTTTTTTTTTTTTTAAGACGGAGTCTCGCTGTGTCTCCCAGGCTGGAGTGCAGTGGCGTGATCTCGGCTCACTGCAAGCTCCGCCTTCCGGGTTCACGCCATTCTCCCGCCTCAGCCTCCCAAGTAGCTGGGACTACAGGCGCCCGCCACCACGCCCGGCTAGTTTTTTGTATTTTTAGTAGAGACGGGGTTTCACCATGTTAGCCAGGATAGTCTCGATCTCCTGACCTCGTGATCCACCCGCCTCGGCCTCCCAAAGTGCTGGGATTACAGGCTTGAGCCACCACGCCCGGCCCAGATCCATTTATTAAAAAACCCTTTAGGGCTAGTGTGGAAGACTGGAGAGAGAGACAGACAGACAGAGACAGGAGACCAATGAGCAGCCTGGTGTCAGATGGAGTCAGTGATAAAGAGAGGAGAGGAAGGGAGTTGAGACATTTCGATAGAGACCAAATGAAAATAGTGCCAAGTTGAGGGAGAGGTAGGGAGGAGGTTGACTCCTAGGATTCTAGCATGGAGAACTGGATGGATGGTGGAGTGAGGGGAGTGGGGTGTTGTCTGGTATAGAGGATGCAGGATATGGGGAGGAAGATTTTGGTGACAGTGCAGGATAGAGTGGAGAGTAGAAGCAGGTGAGTCCAGGCGACTTTTTAGGGAACTTGGTCAGTCACCTAGGTGTGAAGGTAATGGTCGGATCTCCCTCCTTGTTGAACCCCTATGGTTTCCCAGCTCCCCTGTTGACCCTCCTGGGAATGGGCTCTCTCTGTTTTCTGTGATGCTAGTTCCACATGGGTCACCCCTTTGGGTCCCTTAATGGATAGGCTGGACTCAAGATCCATCACCCCTACTTGCTCTTGTCTGTGTTCTCACCCTTGGTGAACAGGAGACATTTGCACTTACTCTTTCAGATGCGACTGAGACCAAGAACTCTCCTCTGATGGAGGATTTCTTGGAAGAAGGATTCTCCCAGGAGATTATAGAGATGTTATCCAAGGATGGCTTCTGGAACTCCAATTTCGGAGAAGCCTGTGTAGAGGACACCTGGTTAGATGGTTTGCTAGGCGATCCAGAAAGTCTTCTGAGGTCTGATGTTGCCACCAATGGGGAAGGTCCCACGGAATGCAAGAGTTATGAATTAAAGAGAGGCCTCAGTCCTGTGTCCACCCTTTCCACGGGAGAAGATTCCATGATACATAATGTTTCTGAAAAGACCCTCACACCAGCTGAGTCTAAGGAATATAGGGGTGCGTTTGACTCCTACTCGGACCACAGCCAGCAGGATTCTGTTCAGGAAGGGGAGAAACCATATAAATGTAGTGAATGTGGGAAAAGCTTCAGTGGGAGTTACCATCTTACCCAGCACTGGATTACTCATACTGGGGAGAAACCCACTGTCCATCAAGAGTGTGAGCAAGGTTTTGACCAGAATGCTTCCTTTTCTGTGTATCCGAAAACTCACACGGGCTACAAATTCTATGTATGTAATGAATATGGGACAACTTTTAGTCAGAGTACAAACCTGTGGCATCAGAAAACTCACACTGGAGAAAAACCATGTAAGAGTCAATACAGTGACCACCCACCCAGTCATGACACACAGCCTGGTGAGCATCAGAAAACTCACACAGATAGTAAGTCCTACAACTGTAACGAATGCGGCAAGGCTTTCACCCGGATCTTTCATCTTATTCGGCACCAGAAGACCCACACTCGGAAACGCTATGAATGTTCCAAGTGCCAGGCGACCTTCAGCTTGAGAAAACACCTCATCCAACATCAGAAAACTCACACTGCAAAAACTACCTCTGAGTGTCGGGAGTGCGGGAAGACTTTTCGGCAGAGTTCGCTGCTCATTGAACACCAGGCTCTTCATACTGGAGAGAAGCCTTATAAGTGTAACGAATGTGGGAAATCCTTCAGCCATAACTCTACCCTAAAGATCCATCAGAGGGTTCACAGTGGAGAGAAGCCTTACAAATGCAGTGAGTGTGGGAAGGCCTTCCGCCAGCACACTCACCTTAATGAACATCGGCGAATTCATACAGGCTACAGACCCCACAAATGTCAGGCATGCATCAAGAGTTTCAGCCGGCCCTCACATCTGATGCGACATCAGGCCATTCACACTGCAGAAAAGCCCTATCGCTGTGCTGAATGCAAGGAGACTTTCAGCGATAACAGTCACCTTGTGCAACACCAGAAAATGCACACTGTCAAAACCCCGTATGAATGCCAGGAGTGCGGAGAACGCTTCATCTGCAGCTCAACGCTGAAGTGCCACCAGAGTGTTCACACAAGAGAAAAACAAGGATTTGTTGTGAGTGGGAAGATCTTGGATCAGAACCCACAACAGAAAGAGAAGTGCTTTAAGTGTAACCAATGTGAGAAAACCTTTAGCTGCGGCAAATACCTAACTCAGCATGAGAGGATTCACACCAGCGGGGTGAAGCCCTTTGAGTGTGACCAGTGTGGGAGAGCCTTTGGCCAAAGTACTCAGCTCATTCACCATCAAAGAATCCACTCTAGAGTGAGGCTGTATAAATGGGGTGAGCAAGGGAAAGCCATCAGCAGTGCCTCCCTTCTCAAACTTCAGTCCTCCCACACAAAGGAGCACCCTTTTAAATGTAACGAATGCGGAAAGACCTTCAGCCAAAGTGCACACCTCTCAAAACATCAGTTAATTCATGCTGGAGGGAATCCCTTTAAATGTAGTAAGTGTGACAGGGTCTTCACCCAGCGAAACTACCTTGTTCAGCATGAGCGAACTCATGCCAGAAAGAAGCCCTTGGTGTGTAATGAATGCGGGAAAACGTTCCGTCAGAGCTCGTGCCTTTCTAAGCATCAGAGAATTCACTCAGGTGAGAAGCCCTATGTATGTGACTACTGCGGGAAGGCCTTCGGCCTGAGTGCGGAGCTTGTCCGCCACCAGAGAATTCACACTGGAGAAAAGCCTTATGTTTGTCAGGAGTGCGGGAAAGCCTTCACCCAGAGCTCATGCCTTTCTATTCACCGGAGAGTTCACACTGGGGAGAAGCCCTACATATGTGGTGAATGTGGGAAAGCCTTTGCCCAGAAAGCAAATCTAACACAGCACCAGAGAATTCACACTGGCGAGAAGCCTTACTCCTGTAATGTGTGTGGCAAAGCTTTTGGCCTCAGTGCCCATCTCAACCAGCATCTGAGAGTTCACACCCAGGAGACACTTTATCAGTGTCAACGTTGCCAGAAAGCCTTCCGGTGCCACTCGAGCCTCACCCGCCATCAGCGTGTACACAACAAGCAGCAATACTACCTGTAGCCATTGGGTGGCAGCAGAGTCCCAGAATATGAGACTTCATCCGACGTGGAAAGTTGGAAACCATCCATCCTATTGCAAGTTTCTCTCCAAATAAATACATCTAAAGATTGATTAGAAAGTTTGTGAACATGTTTCATTACAACAGTGAAAACACAAAAATGGAGAAGCTGTACAACGTCAGGATACAGAGGTAGGCTCTGGAGCCAGTCTACCTGAGTTAAGTTCCACCTCTGCCATCTACTACCTAAGTGACCTTGGGAAAGTCAGAAAAATCTCTCAGGGCCTCGGTGTCCTCATCTGTAAAATGGGCATCACCTACCTCAGAGGGCTTTTCTGAGGATTAAATACATAAATGTGGAGCACTTAGAACTGATGGCCAGCACATGAGGACTCACCAAGTGTAAGCCACAAATACACATCAGCCATAGCACAAATATACTCGTGTTATAAGAAAGGAATTAGTAATCTCTCTGTGTTTACTGTAGTTAATGTTCTTACAATGTATCGCTTTTAAGTTTTCCTTTTTTAAAGTTTTTCTCCAGCACCTTACTCTTCTTAAATGCCTGGCCTTTTTTGTCCCTTTATCTCTCTTTCCTGTTTTTTTTTTTTCTTAACCCCCAGAAAGCCAAAAAGAACATGTAAACTCCTAACCTCAACTAGCTACAACCTTCCACTCCTAACCTCCCAAGCGTCTCACTCAGAGAGGACTCCCTATCCCACAAACACATGCTTCCTCTTCCCATGACCTTCCTCCGTTTAACAGTGTTGGCTATGCAGTAAGACACCCAATTTGTCATGGGAGTTGACACCAAAACACAGCTGGATTCATTCAGGAAAGCTGTGTTGATCAAGGTGTTAACCGCATATGAAACAACCCATATGGAAGACATGCTTGGGGGTCAAACCTGTGGTGTGTGGAAGTGACCGCTGGGATGTCATCATTCACTATTTATCCAAGACAGCCGCTCACCAGGCAATTTGCTAGGCTCAGGGGCGGGTGGTATCAATACACTATGCACTGCTACTACTCTGAAGCTTCTGGAATCAGAGAAATGAATGAACCTATTTTCATAGACGATTGCTGTTAGTTGACAAGTGACATCTTAAAAATGCCCCATTCCCTCATGTCACAGGGAGTTCTGGGATCACCAAGGAGTGTTGGAGAGTCCAGTGAGATGGAGCCACACAACCAGTTCCCTCCTGACAGTGTCTTGTCAGCTCTGGGCGTCTGTGCCCTACCACTAAGTGGCTCAGTCACATTTGCTGACACAGTAGTCTTATGAAAAGCATTGGCCACATACTTTCAATGTCTTTCAGATTTTAGGTGCTTCAAATGGTTAGGGGGTAAGTGCTCTGTACCCTTGGGCTCTTCAAGTCTTGCACCTGGAGTTCTGCTGGTTAAGTTTGTTAAACTTAGTTGAAACTGGGAACCTGTTGGCTAACCATTGGGCCCTTATGCTGTTTTTCAAATGGCTGCAACATTTAACTTCTTGCACATGGTTCCCGTCCTCTGGAGCTCTGTCTTGTCTGGGAGATGGGCATGTTACATACCAAAAGAGTGGACAAAGTGTTGCATGGCTGGAATACAATGGGGACTCTGGAAAACTGGCAGCCATTGGGGGTGAGGGACAGTCTATAAATCAGTCACCTGTGTTGCTGCAGGCCATGGTAGAAACGCCCTCCATGTGTGCATATTTGTTGGTTCTCTGATTAAAGTTTTGAATCTAAAAGCATTGATTCCTTCTCTCAGCCTGCTGCCATGCAGCCACACATCAGTCCCTGCCTGCCAGGCCTCACGTCTTTGTGGGGGAGGGCTTCTGATGGTGATCATTGGCCAGTAAGAAACAGCTCAGTCTGTTTTCCCGCTGTCTGGGCGGGGCATGCACCACTGAGGAGGCACACAAGTTCACCTGGTCCTCAGATGCATCATCAAACAACACTTTTCAGTCTGTGTGTGAGCCTAAGTCATCAAGGAGAGAGCACAGGCAGCCTGCAGTTCACTCTTCACAGACACGTCAGGCCCCAGGCTTGGGGAGTGTTTCTAGTTAGCATCCAATAATACACATAACTTTGCTTAGTACTTTAATTTTTGTCCCCGCCTTTTTCCTTTAGTGACAAGTGACAAGAGATACTAGTTTCCTGCTTATGGTAGTAATAGAAAGTTGTCTTTTTTTTTGATAAAGTGAGCTGATCCGGCCGAGTGTGGTGGCTCATGCCTGTAATCCCAGCACTTTGGGAGGCCTAGGTGGGAAGATGACTTGAGCCCAGGAGTTCGAGACCAGCCTGAACATGATGAAACCCTGTCTCTACAAGAGAAGTATGCAAATTAGCTGGGTGGTGACCACTGATCACTTAAAAATGATTAAAATGGCAAATTGTATATTTTTACCGCAATTTAAAAACATTTACATAAAGTACTACATTTTTAAAGTTTGTGTGGTAGGCTGGGTGTGGTGGCTCATTCCTGTAATCCCAGCACTCTGGGAGGCTGAGATAGGTGGATTGCTTGAGCTTAGGAGTTTGAGACCAGCCTGGGCAGCATGGTGAAACCCTGTGTCTACAAAAATTACAGCTGGGTGTGGTGGCACACGCCTGCACTCAAGCTACTAGGGAGACTGAAGTGGGAGAATCACAAGCCTGGGAGGTTGAGGCTGCAGGAAGCTGTGATCATGCCACTGTACTCCAGCTTGGGCGACAGAACAAGATCCTGTCTCCGAGTAAAGGAAAAAAATGTGACTGGAAAAAGAAATGAGCTACAGGAGCCTAAACCAAGCAAGGTTAAGATGGCAAAACCCAGCACCTCTGAGGCTGGTGCGAAGACAAGCTCAAACGA